CGCTTTTGCATTTTATGCAAATGCAGAAACGAATGCTGACGAGGATCTGTACATGTGTGTGTGTGTATCTGGAAGCGATTGAACTTTGTCACCTACTTTCAACTCAGCAACGAGAAAAACTGGGAGGCTTAAATTTTTAGAACAGAACAATTCGCAGCAGAGCAGTGTGGCACCGTCAGCCATGGAGTTCCCTCAGTACAAACACAACACCTTAACATCAACTCACTTTGACCGAAATTCGTATGTCCGATGGTAGCGGTGAATCGGCGGTGAACGGCTTCCGCTTCCAACCATGCACCAGTTTGATCCATTTCCACGCATTTATCACCTGCAATTACGTGTAAGAGCAAAAGCAATGGTGAATGAAATGACGTTCGGTCTTTTACATAATCTTATGAGAACAGCAATGCACACGTGCAGGCCTCATGATTATCCTTTTGTCCCAAGCTGTTGCGGCCAAAAAGTCGGTGAAGGGGTCAGTACAGGGAGAAGCTCGTCATGACGATCATTTAAAAAGCGATTCAGCGAGTGAGGACCATTTTAGCTTTCTAGTCTGAACTAATACTGGCCACAGACAGGCATATACAGATATGATATCGAGAAGCTACTTTTTGTTTAGACAAATCATGCAATTTAAAAACGCATAAACAACATACACAATTGCAGTAAGCTAGCTAAAACTATGCGCTGAACTTCAAAACAGGCGTCTTTTATCAGATCTCTTATTTCACCTCATCGACAGATCTATTTCGGTGTAACGAACACGAACAATTTCAAGGAACAAAGGCGTTAGTAATCTAAAATAAATAGTGGAGCGCATCAGCGTAGTCGGTGCGATCATGCGTTTTACACAGTTTCAACTAGCGAACGTTTGCCACCTAAAGAATTTTGCTGTTTTACAACTGCAGTCTGTGAAAAACCGGTCGATATGTTGTCGGGTTCGTAAGCTGCGAAATTTGCGATTAAAAATTTCACGTACCAGTGCATGAAATGCAAACGTACCTGAAAGCTGAATTTGAAACCTTGGGCAGTGAACAATATTCCAAAATTTCAACCTCCTAGTTCTCTGGCTTTCAAGTAAATTTCGCACCAAAGCCTATACTTGGTCTCGCGTGAGACCTTGTCATACGCAGAAGCTAAGCTGAGTTTGCTAGGCCCCTGCATAAGCAAAAAAATCCTTCTGAAGTTTTCAGTCTCCGTTCTCTTGCTGTTCTCGAGACAATAATTTTTCTGGTCAAAACTTTTACGAGGCTGTAAGTGGAACTCAGATTTAGGCCTACATTTAAAGCTGAATTCAAATGGGCGGGTCGTACATGGGCAAGGGTCATTACCCTGAAATTTTAGCCTTCTAGCTTTCGTGGTTCCCGAGGTAGTAATTTTCCCCACCGAACTTTCACGGGGCCTACGCGGTACCCAGGTGAACAAAAAGACTGAATTTAAACTTACGGTGTCGTACGTGAGCAAGGGACATTCCCCTCAAATTTTAGCCTCCTAACTTTGACGG